AAACGTCTTACGAATACTATTGAGTGCAAGACAAAAAACTTAAGATACATATGTAAATAAGCTTAAAGTCACATGATACTAATTTTCATTATTTGCTATTCCTTTTCGTTTGCTCGAGCATTGAACAAATTGTAATATTTGTTATACATTTATTTGAAGTTCAACGGCACCATCTTGCGCTTGATAATAACTTGCTTTGTTGAATTGCGTTACTGGTTGATTGCATCGGATCGCCGCAGGTGGCGCTCTTCAGCACTAAAGTGTTAATACATGTAGTTGTTTGTTTCCGGGAAATGTTCGTACTGATGAGTGGCGGGTAATACGATTATTACACCCTGAACTTGTATTCCAACGCAAGAAGCCAATCTTCTGACACAAATTCTCATCTGAATAGTAATTACTGTCGCATACGACTTATTTACCACTTCCGTGTCACTGAGAATGTTCTAGAACCGTACTGTGTCTGGGTGGAATATTCTATATTTTTTTAGAAAATGGTTGAATAGGTAATAGAACACTGTAGGAGGCAATAGAAGGTAATGGAACATTCTAGAAATTGGTAGTAAGTTCAAGACTTATTATGTATGCTGATGTAATGGTCTATTTATAGACAGTGCGGCTATATATAGGGGAGTTGTTCAGCACTGAGATCAGATCGGAGATCTCGTTGAATTGTATTGGAGTTTAAGTATCTAGTCATTGGAGTAGTGGAGTTTTACCGCGTTATTGTACTTGATGTTTGCAGAGTATAATAATACCAGTACCAGTTGAAACCTCATCTGTTGGCTCCGTGTTCGTATTTTATCATCGCCGCCAGGGAAGTCTTTCTGTTACTGTTGCCATTTTGGTATTTGAACCATCACACCTGTACTATACCAATTACGGTAATATTACGTTGCGTGTGACAATTACTATCTCAACGAACCTAGGTTAACGCAATTGATGAAACAACATGAGGTGAATTCACTGAAGTTTTCCGACTGTAGAGGGCGCAAAATCAGATTATACGCCGTTATGCAATGGAGTCGCGTAGAACGAGTGGGACGTCGCATATATTTTAAGTTGCTATACATAATGTGACATTTCGATAAATAAAACAATACACTGATCAAAGCCTTCAATACGTATCAATTTGTTATTAACATGTAAGACCAGTGTCACCCCCGTATAGAATTTTATTTGGCATATACCAACGAAACCTTGAGTAATGTCGAATAATAACAACAACAAACAAACAAAACAACATTCAGAACAACAAAACTTACAGTACTAAAACGTATCATAATATAGAGAATTTTTTTTTCAAAAATGAAAGAATAATCATTGAAACAATATTAATTAATCTAGTTAAAATCTTTCAACTTTGGGACATAGATGTAGTACTCGTACATGGCTGCAAGGAATCTAGATCTATGACAATTATTACAATATAAATTGTAATGTGTCTCATTCCCTACAGCTCTGCATTCATGGAGATTACATAGCCTACAAAATACCTTTATGTGTACCGGATTTAATGGGAAGAGAATGTGCGAAAGTTATACATTTATTATAAGCTATTCTGTAATTGTTAAAACATGTCAATATCTTTCGCAAAATTGTTTAACAATAAGTATCGCATTTTATTTTGAAAGGGGTGGGGGTCTAAAGGTACATACGTACTCCCCACAACAATTTCACATGAAAACATTGGATTTTTTTTTTTTACACCACAGCCACATAAATTTCGCCTATGCCCACAAATCCTTTGAAAGCATATAGTCAATAGTACTCGGACGCAAATAGTCCACTGAAATCTCATAGAAAGAGAGAGAACTGCGAGACTTGTTTTTGATCCTAAAACCATGTACCATGCACCTATGTAACCATGGTATTTTGAACAGGAGACGTGACGACGGAAAAGAACGAGCGAAGAAATACCTCACGTCATTTCACCCACTCTTGCAATTAAATATTAAACACCAATCAGAAAGCAGCTTATTGGTTGACAATTTTTTTCAACGAATCGAATTCGGTCTTGTATATTTGTTTTGATTCAACTGCAATTATGTGGTGAACATTTTTGATTAGTAAATGTTACAGATTTTGTGGAAAAACATTTTCTGTTTGAATGTTTAGACACACAGATAATAGCTGTGTTATTCGGATACCCCTTACCTTTTACCCGTATTATACTCATATTAATTATTTTCACAATAAATTGTATTCCCAGCTACATATAAGGATATACAACATTTGCATTACAAATGCACTCAATTAGATGAATAACAGGTGAATTATACAGCCAGAATTATATGGTTTTAGACATCAAAATATATCGCCAGTGACTTTGTTGGAACTTGTTAGATCTTACTATTTAATATTTTCCAATAAGTAGCTATAATTTTCCAATATTAAATAGCTTTCAGTTTATTAATTTTGATTTTATAAGTTTGTACTTTCTCAGTTTATTTCTGTATTTCTCAACTTTACTGTAGTGGCAATGACAATCCGTCCATGACTTTTTTTTTCATTTCTTAATTTTATTTTTACTATTTCATTAAAGTTGAATAAATTATGCTTCCTCTGTGTGATTTCACCGTGAATATTGATGTCTAAGAAAAATTAAATATTAAATTAACTTATTGTTTCAGTGTAGTTTCTCCACCGATAGGATAAGTAGATGCATACTATTGAATAACTAAATGATATATAAATTTCTGACCTGTCCCAGTAATAAGTGGCAAAAATATTCTTCAACTGAAAATATTTTTCTTATTGGCTCCAATACGGGCAGGTATTATCTCTCATTGGTTCCAAGAAATAAAAAATTAATATTATACCTAAGCAGTCCCAATATTGTCTGTGTGGTACCAGCAAGAGAGAATGTTCCTTATGAAGATATAATCAAGAAAGAAGATAATAATATTATCCTTGAGTGGTCCCAAAGCAAAGAAGATAATATCTCGGAGTGGTCCAAAATCAGGTGGTGATATTATCCCAGAGTGGTCCAAAATCAGGTAGCAATATTACCCCCCCCCCCCGAGTGGTTCCAAAGAAAGGAAAGATATTATCATTCGAGAGTGCTCGCAAAGCAAGGGGGATAATATTATCCCTAACAATGGAGATATTATTTCTGAAAGGCTCCAGGAATAAGCAGATCATATTCTCTTTGACTGGTCCCAAACACATGCAACATACACATGCAGATATGTAATCATTTTCAATATTTTGTTAATTTTTTGTCTAATTCAGCTGTTTTAATTATTTTTGCACGTTTAGCTGTTGAAATGAATTATTTATGAACATAATAATTCCAAACTGCTAGAAATACTGTTCATGTCGTTATTCAGAATATTCTAGAACATGTTGAGTCCGTCACAGCCAGTCAGTACCAGATGTCAAAGTTGAGTCCGTGTCAGACTAAAAGAGTTGTAGTACATTTTAGTTCAGAGCCACAGCAAAGTCGTGATGTTAATTAATATCGTTGGAATACACTGAAGTCACAGACAGTGACAGGTCAAATATCATCATATTATTGTATTATCTTAGAGAAGCCTGGTGTATCATCTGACCACAAAAGGTGAACAAAAGTCTCAACGAGTGTTGAGTATTGGGCTATGAAACCGTCAAAAATAGCAAGCTAAGGTCTAATGAATTGAAAAACAAATTGACATGCATACGACTTGGTACCAACTTTGAACCAAATCAGTCCAGGCAAGTCTTAGAAATCAAGAGTACAGATGCATTGAATGGTTGAAATCCAAAACACAAGTCCCAGGTTTGGACATAATTAGTATATACAAATGCATTCATTATATGTTAGTATGTAAATTTATTGAAATCAGATACATGATTACAAGAACTTGTTTTCATGGATGCATATAAAGTTTCGATGCACCCATTCTAGTTAGCTGTATAAAGTAGAGCAATTTACCAATATATAAAAACTCATTTCTAATACATATCTAACATATTGAAAGTACTTTAAATTTAAATTTGTTATACCATCTTTCGCAGCATAAACAAGAAATAAAATCTGCAGTTACTGTTTTTTTTGTCATGGCTGAATGCGTATGAGTGATATTTAATAGACACAACAGCTGTAATATCACTAAAGTTACATATCATGGCGTCAACCATGGCGTTGCAAGCACAAGACATTAACCAAGGTTACCCAAAGTCATATTTGTTAGTAAATGAAGGTCAGCCAGTAGAATTGACCTTCACATTGAGTATGTGGCACACTAACCCAGGGTAAAGAAACAACCCTTTTTTGATGTTCAGCCTAAGGTAGGATTTGAGCTTGGGTCCACAGTTCACGAGTCTGATGCAACAACCACTATTGCTATACATTTACAAGGCAGCATTCTACCGGAGCGGAACTACTGTTCTCCCCACTGATTAACAGAAGATTATCTTCAATGCGTTTACACAGTCGGGGTCAAATGAGAACCAAGACCTCTTCGTCAAACCTGAAATTGCGTGAAATTACAAACGATGTTGTCCCCGCCATAATTGAAATCAGAAATTACTTGGAGAAGGCGATTGACGGCATGATTTCGGCTCCGATTGCCTCTATGCGTATACACGGTAGGAGCCATGTTGGGGTTCAACCCTATCAGAGTTCAACCCTGATGGTTTATTGGAGTATACACGGCCATTTTTGCTGGTTCGAGCCGCAGGGCTCCGATAAAATGCTGTCGTGTAAACGTAGCATATGCTACCAGTGACCAGTGTCAGTGTTTGATGGTTGTGTACAAGCTTATGTTGTATGTGATCCCTTCTCAGCCAAGTCACTTTTGAGAACACATTGGTGCTTACATGTTTTATGTATTCTACCAGTCATGTTGAAAGAGTTGTAATCAGTGGATAAAAATTTCTTCTGATAGAATTCTACAATTTGGTTAAAGCATAGACAGTACAGTAGAACTACTAAACTGTCTATGATTATAGTGAATATATTACAAACCATATAAACACTGATGGGTAATAGACTTTGAATATAAAGCACACCTGTATTGATAATCATTCTTGTGGATGTTTATTGGTTTGTTATTCGTTCTCGTTAACATGTGTAAATTCATGGCTCCACGATGGTTCTCTTTTTTCTATGAATGCATTAATGCCTTCCTGGCCATCCTTCAAATCTAAGTTGAACACCATTATTTCTGAAGCTTGTCTGAAATAAAGAGTTGAAAATTTTATTAACAAAAGCTGAAAAAAAGACCTCCGGCAAGCAGCCCCAGCACACACATATTGTGACTTGTACCTAAAATTAATTTCCCAGCATTCATTTTGTCTACATTATTGAACTCCTCAATTATGAAAACATATTCTTAGAACTTGGAATTATTTTATATCACTTATTACCTCAATAGTCATTCCCAAAAATCAATATTTTCGTAATGTCAGTTTTCATCCGGATCTAACTTTGTAACTATTGACAATGCATCAAATTCTTTGGCACACTACTGATTCAGCATAGGTATGGATAATTTAATTGCTTTAGTGTTAATTGCCACCTGCAATCCACAGAACCCATCTCACTTATTTTTTTGTTTTATTCTGGATCATAGTATCCAATAGAACTAATAGTAGTAATTGGGAGTTCTATATTCCTACATTTCCAAAAATTCCTGTATCCAGATGGTAATCTGGATAACAATCAAAATTGAATGGGTTCTTTCTTGGGCAGACACATCTCTGGTAAAAATTTCAGAGCAATCAGTCCATGACTTTTTTTATAATTTTACTAACAGACAGACAAACCAACTACTGAAAACATAACCAACTACTGAAAACATAACACATGAAATATCATGATTTGTAGCCGGCAAGTCATCAAGGTCATGACCATTCAATTGATGACACCAGAGCTGAAGGTGAGGCAAACACATTAACCATTAGTGTTACCATGACAACACTTACCTATAAGCATCTGACAAATCTTTAGTAATCTGGTGATAGAAGCATGACTTTCCCAATGCTATCACAGCCCTGCTAGACTTGCAAATTTGTCTGGCAACTGCCATTGTCTGTGGAAGTAATAAACGACAATGGTAAAAATAACAAGCTTTTATGTAAATTAACATCACATGACATTCACTTCAAATCAGATCAGAACAAACTTCCAATCGAATTCCAGAATAAACCTTAATTCATTGTCTAAAAGCATGATGATTGGTCGAGTGGCGTTCCATTATCATATAATCATGAAATTAAAAAAATCAGACAAGTTCAAATTTTGTCTTGACTAACTATGTATTTCACACATGCTGCACACGTCAGATGAAATCAATATCGAACACGGCAACTGTGGGTCTTTAATATAAGACGCACAATGCCAAGAACTCTAAGATAAGTGTATCACTTTAAAGCGAGGGAGTCGTCACCTGCGCATGCGTCAGATGGTCATAGCGTGTCATTGTTTACAAACAAGCATTTACCCATGAGCCTTTATGTTTTTAGCGTGTGTTGTATTCATCGCTTGGTACCCAATTCACACGTGTGCGCAGGTGACGACCCTCTCGCTTTAATTAATCGATATATCCGTGTTTACGTAAACCATTGTAAAAATTAATGAGAATGCCAAGGTTGTAAACCATTGCTTGGTGATATATTTATATTTTGTACTACTCAGAATGTTATTGATAACGCTTGAAGACAAATATAGTCTGAGCAGTTTGCCTTAAAACTCAGTTGCATTTTTGTTGTCGGTTTTGACATGAGGTGGTGACCATCACGACCACTTTTCTGCAATTTGTGACAAATATGAAATACACATTTCAAATAAGTCTTCTTATCCCGCGAGGATGTCAAAATGATGTAGATAAGTCATATGTGCATCTTATAGGAATTGTGTGCAAGGCCAAAAGAGCAGCTTTGCTTCTCGTCTCAGGAAAAAATTAAAAACAATATGGTTTTATAATTTTTTTTCTGCAGATTAAGAATATCTAATACAACAGAAATATATATAATGTTTAACTTTTAATATAAAATGTTTTTGAATACATACATTTAATGTTGATCAACAGATCAACAAAACATTTAATTCTCTGAAATTCAAACATTTCCTGCATTTTATTGTACAGGTATGTATACAGGTTTCAAACTGATGCAGGTGATGATAAGATGTGTGTGTTTTTGAATGCCTTCAGTGATTGGCTTATGATGTCGTCAAACAATGTGCATGGTGATGTCTTGTACATACCTCTTCTTCTAGCTTTTCTTTTGGTACAATCTTACTGACAAGTCCATGCTTTAAGGCAGCTGGAAAAAAGAGAGGAACTCACATAAGGAAAGTGGAAGTACTCCAACAATGTATAATACTGCCCTCTGTGGCAAGATTCAGACATGTAGGATTTCCATTCAGGTAAGGCCAGACTTTTTTTATTTATTTATTTATTTATTTATTTATAAGGCAATTTTTTTGAGGAGGGCGAAAAAAAAAAATAAAATTAATTTTTTTTTTCATTAGATTTGTGTGATTCTCAAAGAATTGTAAGTGAGATCATTGATCGGAGAGAAGAAATGAAATAAAATTTTATTCCATGTATAACCTTGTTTCTCATCTGTGCGAGACTTCGGTACTTTGATCATGATATCCCACGAAAATGCAACTTAGGTTTGTTATGCGGCGGGCGGAAAAAAATGAAGATAAAAATAAGTTTTTTTAGCAATTTTTTGGCACTTACAAGTCAGTGGGTGCAAGAAATTACGCTGAAATAAAATTTTATTTTTATTTCATTTTCGGCTCCTGTTTTTTCGGCGGGTTCGCGAAACAAGGGATAATAAAAGTCTGGCCTAAAGAAACTATTATCAGTATTCTGAAGTCAATGTGAAGCTATACTTACAAGATTGTACCTGATTGGCTACCCAACCCTGATACCCAATAATCAGACCAATCAGAGAGCAGCTTGTTTGTTGACAGATTTTTTGCGGCGAATCAAATTCTACCTTTCATAGATGCTTAGACTCAACTAGTATTCTGAATTTAGGCACCCAGTGTCAAGACCAAACTTCTTAAACATGTCTTGATTTATTTAAATAGTGAGGTAAATAAAGGGTATCAATTTAAAGGCATTCAAGTTCAGGCATAGCCTTTAATAGTGAAAAATTGAATTTGCAGCTCTTAACATGGAATTACCTTGGGCATCTATTGGTTTCCCTGTAAATAACATCTCCATGGCAACTTTCTGAGGTATAGCTCTGCCGATAGCAACGGCCGGTGTAGAACAGAACAAGCCAATGTTCACTCTATGGTAAACACAGAATAACAGTCAATGCTATAATTTTAAAACACATTGTAACAGAAGCATATACCTCAGCAGAAGCTATCGTTGAGTTCCTACTTCATTAGCTGAAGCACCCTATACTACAGTAGAAGCTATATATACCCCAATTACTTCAACTGAAACAGCATATACTCCATATACTCCAACTGAAGCTGAATATACTACAACTGAGGAAGATATACTATAACTGAAACAGGATATACTACAACTGAAACTATATGTGCAACTGAAGATGAATATACTACAACTGAAGCTGAATACACTACAACTGAAGCTGAATACACTACAACTGATGCTGAATACACTACAACTGAAGCTGAATACACTACAACTGAAGCTGAATACACTACAACTGAAGCTGAATACACTATAACTGAAGCTGAATACACTACAACTGAAGCTGAATACACTACAACTGAAGCTGAATACACTACAACTGAAGCTGAATACACTACAACTGAAGCTGAATACACTACAACTGAAGCTGAATACACTATAACTGAAGCTGAATACACTACAACTGAAGCTGAATACACTACAACTGAAGCTGAATACACTACAACTGAAGCTGAATACACTACAACTGAAGCTGAATACACTACAACTGAAGCTGAATACACTACAACTGAAGCTGAATACACTACAACTGAAGCAGGGCATTCTACAGCTAAACTTGCATTATATATGCACTAAATCTGTTACACGACACCCACTGTCCAAAATTCACCAATAAGTATGTCTTTGAGTTTGTTTGACACCAGAATAGTGAATGAAATTGCAATAATGCCTTTATGATATGGTGGACATATATTCCTAAACATGGAATCAGCACTTGCTCTTACAATTTGCACACAAATAGAGTAAGGAGAGACAACAGAGACAATACCCGTCACCTGGCCTGACTATTAAAAAAGAAAAAAAATATGATACAGCTTTTAGTTTATTTTTGTTTAATTTAGTTTTAGTTTTATTGAAACACTTCAAATTCCTCAGAAGGAATTAAAATGGTTACACTAACTACTAGAACACATATTTTACAAAAATTAGTATCTAAAGCACGAAAATGATTTTTAAAAATACAAAAAAAAAAAAAAAAAACTACAGTTAAAAAACTGGTGATAATGTAATAATAATAAAAAAAATAGATAAAATAAAAAAAAATAAGCAATATAGAGTAAATCAATGAAACATGGAACGAACAAGACTAAATGAAAAAAAAAAACGTATTAAAGGAGAAAAGTATTTATGCTAATTTGCCAGAGGATGTTGCTGTCTGAGGTACATGTTATTTTTGATAAATTGGGCAACTAGTATTTGTACATTCAGGTTTTTATCACCCATTAATTTTAAAAATTTGTTGTAGTCACTCATATTCATGAAGTTTATAATGTGTTTAGTAGTCTCTTGCTTTTCGCAATTTTTCGTAAAAGGGGCATTTAATAATTCCTATTTCGGTTTTGGGTTTGGTGTACCTCCCCGTTTTATGATTGCTCAGACGGGACCTACTTAGACATTTAGAGCATGTAAAGCTGAAGGTGCAGTATATGTCATATTGTTTTTAAGAAAGAAACTTGAGCAAAAATACAAAACAAAAAACATTTCATTGACATCATGATCAGAATTGATAAAAAATATGGCTGGTGGTGACAAGATTAATAACAGAAACATTTTAAGTTTCCAGAAAGCCATATAATTTTTATTTATATACTAAGAAATCATTTGCATACAAACTCCATATATGGGCATTTTTCTTGTTTGTCCACTTACCCTGGAGTTGCAAATGTGGAGTTTTCAGCAGCAATAGCAATATCACAGCTAGCTACCAACTGACAACCAGCAGCAGTGGCCAAACCTGCAATACAGAAGGACAGGACGGAATTGTTGAAAACAATGAAAATAAAACTGGTTCAGGCTTAATAACAAAAAATTCTGGTTCATATAAAATGCTTTTCAAAAATAGATTACCGGTAGGTAGGTAGAGATTTTTTTACAGTGTTTATTATTTTTGCGTATAAAGGACTGTTTTGCAGATATGAGTGTCGTAAATCAAGTTTAAAGTCAAAGTTTAAAGTTTTGAATTTCTGTAAAATTTCATTGAAAGCACAAATTTGTGATATTTTCTCAAATATGGCCAAAATTTAGGATCGGCCAGTAAAAAATAAGATAGGTTGAGGTATACACAACACAATTTTTTTTATCTTTTGGCCTTACTATTGTCATTATTAATAAGCATCAGAGTGCTAAAGACGTAACTTTTGTCACCAGATCGCCAGAAACACTGTGATTGGTAATATGTTAAAGGGGGGGTTTGGCTATGCCGGATTTATTGAGCATGTATGTTGGAGCAAAAGCAAATTGGGTTGAAAAGTTTTTTGATAAAAATTACCATCCATGGAAACAAGTTTTTGATTGGTATCTTAATTCGGTAGGTGGAGCAAATTTGTTGTTCCAGTGTAATTATAATAGGGAAATGTTACCGATAAACTTGCCACCCTTTTACGAGTCTGTTCTTCATGCATGTCGTCAGTAAATTTACATAAACCCCCGGGAAATCTTCAAGAAATCGCAAGTGAGATTATTTGGAACAATCAAAATATTATTATTCAAGGAAAATCTCTCTTTTATAAAGAATTGTATAACATAGGTATAGTTTATATTACGGATTTATATGATAAGAATGGTAAAATTCTGTCTTGGGATCTATTGGTTAATCGTTTGGAAGGCACGGCAATTTTTTTAAAATGGTTTGGTCTTGTGGATGCAATTCCGAAAACTTGGCATATTAAATGTTCTCATGTTGTTAGACCCACTCTCCCAGTAAGTGTTCCTAGTGATGGTAAAATTATAGTTATTAGCAAAATGTCTACGAGAATATTTACCCAAATACTAGTT